TTATATGGATTTACTCAAGATCCAAATACATTAAATTATATGATAGTAATGAAATATGCAAAAAATAGTAATTTAAGGAAAAATTTATCAAATATTGCTAAAAATAATTGGATTATTAAATTATTACAATTATATAATATTATTAGTTGACTTGATGAAATACATCAAAAAAATCTTATTCATTGTGATTTTCATCATGGTAATATTTTAAACTTGAAAGATAATGTTTTATCTATTAGTGATTTAGGATTATGTAAACCTGTAGAATATTTTCAATCATCTATAAATTCTAAAAAGACTTGGTTGTATTTTTTATCTAGAAAACATAATACCTTTTCATTTAAAAATAATGATATTTATGGTGTTTTACCATTTGTAACACCTGAAGTTTTAAGTGGTCAACCTTATACTTTAGCTATTGATATATATAGTTTTTCTATAATTATGTGGGAATTTATATCTGGAGTTCCCCTATTTGATAATGAAGCTCATGATTTTCAACTTAGCTTAGATATTTGCAAAGGCAAACGTCCTGAAATTATTAAAAATATTCCACAATGTTATATAAATTTAATGAAAAAATGTTGGGATATAAATCCATTAAAAAGACCAATTACATCAGAAATTAAAAGAATTGGAAAGAAAATATCATTGATAAAAATTTTAAAAAAGATTTAGAGGATAATATTTTAGATTTTTATAAAGCAAATAAGATATTAAAAAAAATACAAAATAATAATATCATTAATGATGATGATAAAATTATTGTTAAATCACATCCACAAGCATATCATACTAGTCAATTACTTAATTTTACTGAAAAATTAAATAAGTTTTTAAATCAAAATATTATAAATACAGCAGAAAATAGTCAAAGTATTGGTAATTATATTGATATTATAAATTAAAATATTTTTTAAATAATTTAATTTATTATTAATATTTATATTTATTAATTTATAGAGGATTTAATTATTACAGATAATTAATAAGTATTTTTAATTCAAAATAATAAATTATATTAAATATTAAACATATTTATAATTATTTAATGAACACTATTATATAAAGTATTTATTATATAATAAATAACAGTTTGTAATCATTAAATAAATAAATATTTTTATTTTTTATTATAATAAATATAATAATTATCCAGTATTATTTAAATAATAAATATTTGTCAAATTTTTCTATTAATAATTATGCTTATAATCTAAATACTTCTAATTAAAATATTAGTATTTAATAATATATATAATATACTTATATTATAGTTTATGTAAAATTTTTTATGATTTATGAATATTTAAGAATGTAAAATAATAATTGAAAATTTTTATATTTAAAAATTTAAGTAAATAAGAATTAAGAAATTAATATATTATAATTAGATAACCACTGGTTTAAATTTATTATATTCCTCTAAAAATAATAATTTATTTGATATAAGAATGCTTAATTTTCAATAAATATTATATTTAGTATCAAAAACTTTTAATAATAATAACTAATTTTTATTCCTATAAAGAAAATAAATAATTTAATTATAAATTAAATATTAAAGAAATTATAATAATTATTTATAAATTAAATATTAAAGAAATTATAATAATTATTTATATTTATCATATTTTTTTATTAAGAGTTTTTTTCTTTAGGGATTGATGCAACTTCTATTTTATTAAGATGCAATAATCAATCAGCATGATTTTTTTCGCATATGTTCCTTTAAAAGAAAGTAAATATGCTTATACTTTTGTGAATAAACCTCTTAAATTTTACAAAATCAATAATCAGAAAATGAATTATGACTAGTAATATTCATAACTTTTGAGAGCAGGAATATCACCAATTCATGCAAGAATATATGCATGTAATGTAAATTCATTTTTGATAAATACATCTTAACATGTTATACTATCTAAAAATAAATTATTTTTTAATAAAAATAAAAAAAACTAAATAATGTTATTATTAAAAAATTTTACTCACTTTCTAATTCTTTCATTTCATTTACAAAGAGTCTTAAAAATAAATTGAAACCTTTAGGTTGAATTAACCTGGAAATTAAAAATTGAATTATCAAATTTTCTTTTTTAACTTGAATTAAAGGACCAAGATTATTTTTGATTAAAAAAAATGCTTAACAATTATCTGTTTTTTGTTTAAATATTTAATATCAATCACAAAAAACTGTAAATGCAATATTTTTTTTATCATTAAATAGATTAATCTTCAATAATTTTTTATAGATTTTTTCGTCAATAATATCTTCTAAATTTTCTGAATCAATATCTTTATTATTAATATATTGATGACGGTAAAGTGATTCTTCTACTCTTACTTTATTATTATATTGGATTTTTAATCTTTTTTTGATAAAAAAGTATGGCATAACTTTTTTAGGTTTATTTGTTGAATTATATCTTGATGATTCGCATATTGGGCAACTATGAAAGGATTCATAAATTTCAGTATAATATATATAAGAATTTTCACACATATCATATAATAAAAGATAGAAACAAGTCCTATTATTCTTTCTAATGATTTTTTAATCTTATATAAATTAGGGTTTTTTTCGCATTATTTTTATATTTTTTCACAATATGATTATATGCCACTTCAGTAAAGTTAAATAATGATTTTAAATATAAAAGTTAAAGGTTGTCAATAACTTCTTAGCTAATAATATTATAATCTTCAATTTGTATTACGTCTTCATTATTATTACTATCTTTACTACCTTATCTATTATCATCTTCATCAATATCATCATCTTCTTCTTCTTTATCTTCTTGACTAGCAGTATCATCATCATCATCATCATCTTTATTATCTGAAATTATTTTTAAATTGTCAAAATCATCAAAATCTTCAATATCATCAATATTTTCAATTATATATTCATGAAATTTAACATCTAAATCTTGATCATGAACTTCAATTTGATCGATATTTTCATCATCTTATCATGATAAAATTTGACCCCTTTTATGATGATGAGCATATATCAGTCTAGTTACTAATATATTATCTTCATTTTTTAATCAAACACAATACACATTTATATAAATAAAGTTCTTTTTCCATTATTTATTAAAAGAATAATTTGTTTTATTATAAAATTTGGATTTTATAAATTGTTTAATTCTTAATATTTGTTTGGTTTTTTTTTAGATTTATTTGAATCTATTTAGAAAAAAATACCTCTTATTTATAATAATTTTTAAATTATAAAAGTAAAATTTAATTTTTTTAACATACTTGTAATTTTTTTTCAATAAAATACTGCCGGTATATGTTGTAATATAATAGAATAAAATTGTATTATAAATATATAAATAATTTTGTAATAAAAAGTTAAGTATTAACATTTAATAATGAGTATTATTATTAATTGTTTGCTACTATTTTTTTAAAAAATAGCATTCAGGCTGTATTATGAGAATGTCAGTACAAATTCATAGCCCAAAAAAACAGTGTTTCCAGCCAATATTTGATTTGAATTGGGTCTTGCTACTCAATTAAATATAAAAAATAAATAAATATTAAAAAAAAATAATGAATTAAAAAAAAATGAGTCTTTAGCCAATATTTAGTACGAACTGGATTATACTACTCAAATTTAAACAAAATATATATAAAATAAAAATAATAAAACTAAAATTAAAAATAAAAAAATAAAAATACTAAAACTAAAAAAAATAAAAAAAAAATAAAAAAATTTTCTCCTTTTATTCCTTTCTTGAGAACTATCCTACTTCTTGAATGATTCTGAGAATGCTTACGTTCTCTATCTCTGCTTCTTGATTAATCTTGAGAATGCTTGTATTCTCTATTTCTATTTCTTAAATAATCTTGAGAATGCCTGCATTCTCTAAATTCAAATTGTCATCTATCTATTCATTGCATGCTGTATTTCATTTAAAAATAAATTAATAAATTAATAAATATAAATATTTATTTATTTATTTAAAAACAAACAATAAATTTTAATTAAATTATCATAAATACTTTAAGGCAATCAAAATTTCTTTCTCATCATTTAATAAAATTCAATATCAAATCGATTTGGACTTCTTATTAAAAATCCTTCTAAATTTCCAATTCTTATTCTTTGGCAATTTTTATAACTATAAACTAACATGTTAAATTTTACTTAGTACTATTTGCTAGTAACTTAAACTGGATAAATATTATTAATTTATTTTGCTATCCTTTCTCAGATAGCAGCATGCTCGATATTAAGAGTATTTTCAAATTCATCACTTAATTCTTAGCAAAGGTTTATTAAAGCTTTAGTTACATTAAAAATCCAAATGATTTCAGCCATTTTTTTTGTAAAGCAAATTTATTGAATCAAATCAATCAAATTATGTATATTTATATATTCTCAAATAATACTTTTATTTTCTAAATTCTTTTATTATATTAATTTTTACTTGTATTTATAATTTGAATCTTGTTTAAGAAGATTATTAATTTTTTTCAATCATATTAATTAAATTAATAATACATCAAGACATTTAAAATGATATATTTTCTGATTATTATTTTTTTTGATCAAATTTAATTAAAATGATAATACATCATTAATATACTATACAAATTAATTAAATGTATTATTGAAATAAATTTATTTCCTATTATTTTTTTTTTTGATCATATTAACTAAATAACTAAATAATAATACATCAAGATAAAACATTTGAAATAATATATTTTCTGATTATTTTTTTTTTTTAATCACATTTAATTAAGATGATAATACATCAATATTCTGTACAAATCAATTAAATGTATTATTAAAATAAATTTATATTTTTTTTTTTGATTATTTTAACTAAATGATAATATATCAAAATAAAAACATTTGAAATAATATATTTTCTGATTATTATTATTTTTTTTTTATCATATTTAATTAAAATAATAATGTATCAATATACTGTACAAATTAATTATTAAATGAATTTATTTTCTATTTTTTTTTTGATTATATGGGGCTTTTGCAATAGAAAGGGGAGAAACTGCTGGGAAAAATTAATTTTACTTTATATGTCAAATATGATTTTTATGCTGAAATATGTTCAAATTTAGCATTAACTCACT